AAAAAAAACCCGCCCGCCGACCCAAATTTTTAGATTCCATGTTATGCAAAACGAAAAATTAACTTTGCGTGGCCTAAAAGAAATTAAACCATTATGAAAAATTAAAACGTGTATCACATATGTTTCTGGTTCTTTAAACGAATTTTTGTCTCACTGGTTTGTTAATGATTTTGAGTAGTATACACTGTATTGTTACAACTGAATAGAATTACAGTTTATTTTTTTTCATTATTTACCAAATTATTGCATGAATTACAAAGCTATTAAGTAACTGGCATCTGGCTGTCCCAAACTGTCAATTGGGACAAATTTAGATTAGGGGCACAACATATATATAGACCTGCGATTGAACCTTTTCATTCTTTTTTTGAACGACCTACGGACACCAGGGAAATGGAAAAATATGGATTTATTTAGATCAATATAAATCGATATTTTTAGAACAAATAATGGGGAAATCGATATTTTTAAGGAAATCAATATTTTTAGGCCAAATTATAGGGCATCCATTTTTGGAAATTTCTATGAAGTATAATATAACATACTAAATTTGGGATCATCTAAAGCCGAAATACTTACGCACGTACGTACGTACGTACTGCACTTATATTTGTATGAGTGATACAAACCCAAAAAAGAAAATTCAATGAAAAATAAACCAAGTTAGTTTTTCGCTTTGTATAGCACGGAATCAGAAAATTGAGTTGTATCAGTTCTATCGGATCATTTCGGGAAAATAAGGTCGCTATCGGGTGATACCGGATTAATTTATGGAAAAAATTTAAATGCCAGAAATAGAATAATTGGCACGATTGGGGCTTAAAAAACAAAAAAAAAAATTGAAACTTGGAAAAAAATGGGTCGGCAGGTAATGCAAAACGAAAAATCAACTTTGCGTGGCCTAAAGGTAGGGCGACAGAAATAAATAATCATTTTCTATATGTGAAATTTCGTTCCCGTCATTTTTAATTAATGCCCAAGACATGTTTAAACGCCTGCTTTTGACAATTTTTGTTGAGTCCTCATTAGAAGAGAATTCTTCAAGAATCTTATTGAAATCTTTCGCAAACTAATAATATCTCAAAATCCTAAATTTTCATTCCATATTTCGTAACTTGTAAATATAAATGGTTGTGTCTTACACCCTAAAACCTATGTCAATCCAACGTGCAAAAGGTGCAATACTGAAATTGAAAACAATACTCATTGGCTTATATGCAATAAAAATCAGACTACGATACATCAGTTAATTCATGAAACCATCATTAAGTTCTTAAATAAGCAGAAGATACACCAACAAGCAGCTCCTGCAATTCTACAGAGGTTCTTCACAACCCCAACAATATCCTCTCCATAATAGCAATATAAGGTTTTGCTCCTTCCAATATTCAGGAGCTCACTACCTTATCTAAGACTTACTACACTCAACTATTGCATAAGATTTCTAAGAACTTATATAAAACAATCTGGCAAGCACGATGTACTGCAATACATCAGCAGGAGGCGACAACTAACCCACTTACCATACCACCCCAGAACACCCACCTACACTACAACATAATATAACAAGATTCCTACTACTAACATATCCACATCTTACATCGCTACTATAAATCTAGATGAGGTCTGTTAGCCTACTCTAGTAGAGTTTTAGGCCGAGGATAAAGTAGTCCTAGCTGTAGGTCCCCGTGGTAATTCATGTAATTCATTCTACAAATGTAAAACATAAATTATACAATAAAGACCGAGGCCAGGCTTCACTCTTTTAAAAAAAAAAAAATGGTTGTGTCTTATTTAATACTATGTTTGGAGATTCGCTCCAACATAAATTTACCAAACAATTTAATGCTACCTTGACTCCACTCCAATATATCTTCATCAAGATTCTCTTCTTTTTGCAGTGACGCACTAAGATTACGATTAATACATCTAATATTCTAATCAACCATTCTAAGCGTATCCTTCTTTTGTCATTTTCAGACTCATATTGAATCAGTA